GCCTGAACTGCACAGCAAGACCCTGTCTCAAAAAGACAAAAAAAAAAAAAAAAAACCAAACCTATCTTTAAAATAACCAAGGAGCTGGGTATACGGCATACGCCTGTAATCCTGCACAATACTTGGGAGACTGAGGCTAGAGGATCACTGAGAGTTTACCAGTCTGTGCTACGTAGTAAGTTCAAAGCCAGCCTGAATTACATAGCAAGACCCTGCCTCAAAAATAAATAAAATAAACAAACAAAATTAAATTAAAAAAAAGTCAAGGCCAACCTAGACAATGTATTGAGACCTGTCTCAAAATAAGAGGGCTGGAGATGTAGCTCAGTGCACAGTCCCTGGAGTCAATCTCCAATGCTGCTAAACAACCACCAATAGAAGCTGGGTATGGTGGCACATATTTAAAATCTGAGCTACTTGGGAACTAAGCTAGGAGGATTTCAAGTGAAGTCAATCTGTGCCTTGTCTAGTGAGACTCTGTCTCAAAAAGTAAAATACAAAGGGTTGAGGAAGTAGCTCAGTGGTAAGAGCAATCACCTAGCATATGTGAGGCCCTGAGTTCAAGTCCCAGGAAAAATACATACATATCTACATACAAACACACAGGAACCACCTACCCACCTGGCCCTAAAAGAAGGTATATTTTGCATCAGATGTCATTGAGTACTTCATCTTAAGAGTCTTTCATATCTGAATGCCAGGGAAATATTGTCCAACTGCTACTGTATTTATCTTATAAATTCTACACATTTCAGAATCATGATTTTCCTTTGCCTGGCCTTACCCCTGAGTGTACCTTTATTAAATATAAAGGGATTCAGGTTTCATTTTTGGGTACTGACTGCCTGACTTCATTTTACTTTGCAGTCCAGCTTACCTCTACAACCACCATGGAAAGGAGGTGAGGTATAGTGCTCAGTGGTAGAGCACTTAGTATACCCAAGGCACTGGGATTGATTCCCAGCATTGCCTCCCCACCCCCAAAAATCCTACCACAAAATTTATGTAAGCTATCTCTAACTTCTTTTCAAAGTATTTATAAAGTCATCATCAAAAACCAAAGTACATGTAGGGAAAGTCCATGCCAATAGTGGGCGTATTTTCCAACTTTTTATAATGTGATAACCTACTTTCTATTAAAACCCAGTATCAAAAAAAAACCAGTATCAAGCCAATTTACATGTGCATACCTGTAAACCCAGCTACACAAGAGGTTGAAGAAGGAAGACTGAAACTCCTAGGTCAGCTGGGGCAAGTTAGAGACTCTACCTTAAAACCAAACCAAACCAAACCAAACCAACCAACAAACAAAAAAGCAAACCAACCAACCAACCAACCAAAGACCACCACCATCAACAGCCCCAACTCAAATGTCAAACACTAAACTGTTTGGTATAGAACAAGCAGGGAAAGTGTTGGAAGGATGCCCTCATTTCCAAAGGGCTGAGTGACAGGCCAGAAAGGAAAACCAGCAGGGAGCCATGAGTCTCACAGTCCCCGAGAATGCAGTGCTCAGTGCTCACCTACGGCCAGTTTAGCTCTACAGAGTCTGTTGGGTTTCAGTCAATGTGCTTAGGTTCTGGTAGACTCAGCAAAGCCTTATCATCTTTGTTAGGTCCCTCACATTGTACCTCACCCAACTTGAAGAAATAAACACTGACAGTCAGTCTGTTCAAACAGAAGGCCCCTCACTCAGCTCAGAGACTAAAGTAAATCTGTTTATCAGGATAGTTCCCAGGCCTAGTTCTCAGGCTTACAGGAAACCTTGTAAGTCTACAGAATGTGACGCTGTAAATCAGTAACATAACGATGTCCTCCAGCACGTTCCTCCCCCAGAGGCACCAGACCCACCAATTACCCCTGAGAAACTTAAATTTTCCACCTTCCTCAGTGGAATTTCCCCCCTCCCATACCTAAAATAGTCTATAAAGTAGGCCCCCTTCCTTTGTTTAGGGCCAACGGCTTTTTCGCCCATGGCCAGGCTGCACCCAACCTGAAATATCACTGTTCGCTTCAATCCTGCCTGTCTGGTGGTCTCAGTCGCTACTTAGGAGTCTAGCCTGACAAACTTGATTCAGGTTGTGTCCTTGCAAACACTCACATGTTGAAGTCCTAACCCCCAGTATCTCACAATGTGAGCACCTTTAGGGAATCTTTACAATTAAGTTAAAAGTGAGGTTATTATACAATATGACTGCTGTAACTGTAAGAGATCTGGACAGAGATGTTACAGAGGGAAGACAGAGATGCTACAGAAATGTGAAGACATAGAAAGAAGACCTCATCTATAGCTGAAGAGGCTGGAATACATCCCTCCTTCATGGCCCTCAGAAGGAACGTACCCTACCAACACAATGAGTTGAATGCCAGCCTTCAGAAGTGTGAGAACACAGATTTTTGTTGTTTATGCCACCCAGTCTGTAGGATGTGGCAGTCCTAGCAAACTAATACAGGGAGGGAGGCAGGTGACTGGTCCCCACCAGCAGTCCAGCATGTGATACACATCTAATCATTTCCTCTGTACTATGGGTTACAGCCAAGATGCTATTTTTATCCCTGACTTAGAGAACAGAGGGTGAGAGAAGTATAAAGTTCATCCCAAATAACATTAGGTGGCGCACAAGAACCTAATGCTAGGTCTTTCTAATGCCAAGGTCTGTGCACCTGTATTAGTGTGCTCTGGTTCTGAGACCACTATGGTTTCTTGGTCAGACACATTCACATCATAGATGGGATATCTGAGGCCCTGAGGCCCATGAAGTAAGTTATTCAAATAAATTAAGTACTCAAATAAACATATAAAGCACCACTACCCAGGCCAGGTATGGTGGCACACACCTGTAACCCCAGTACCCTAGGAGGCTGAGGCAGGCGGATTATAGATTTGAGCCCACTCTGGGCAACTTAGCAAGATCCTGCCTCAGAATAAATTAAATTAAATTTAAAAGGGCTGGTGAGGATGCCTTAAGCTAGAGGACTGGATCTATGAAAGTGGCATTTTACAAAGGCAAGGAGTACTACAGGCCTACCTTTACACCACAAAGCCAGTTACACCTCACTGGGCCCTTCTGCAGGAGATCAAGTAACACAGACCTCCAGAAAGCTCACACCATCTATCTCTACAAAACTGACATCGATCAGATAAATGTGAGTTACCAGATAGCCCCCTCCTTGCATGCCAGGGAACTGCCTGAGCTAGTTAACTGGCAGGAAGGCCATGTATGCTCAAAGCTATAGAAAAATCACAAATAAATGAACCCTGTAAAACAAGAGGTCATCTGATCCTCAGTGTGACCCTGGATAAGGCACTTGACTTCTCCAACTTGTTTTCTTTCTTTCTTTTTTTTTTGGTTTTTTTCTCTGGTACCAGGAACCGAACTCACGACCTTGCGCTTGCCAGGCAGGCGCTTTGCCACTGAGCTAAATCCCCAGCCCTTGTTTTCTTAATGGATGTTATATGTTGGACACTTCTACTGTGTGAGGCACAGAAGTAGCTGCTGCACACACATAACTTATCTGATCTTTACAACAATCCCAGGGCCTCAGTCTATTCCTGGGGCAGTCCTGGGAGCACACTGCTTAGATTTCCCTCAAGAGACCACAGGGTGTGAGGACTGCAGGGAGCTGACAGCCTTCAGGTGCCACCTTTGGAACCTATCACAGTATTCACCCTAAGGCTGCTCTCCAAGGCTACCAACCAGTGATTGATCAAAGTGGGAGTGCTGGGGGTATAGCTCAGTGGTAGAGCATTTGAGTGCAAAATGGGAGTGCTAGAGCAAGGCTATCTCTGCCCATTCTAGACTCCTCACAGCGGCAATCTCTGCTTGGCTGAGATTTCCTCAGAGCTACGATGTAGCCTGAGGCTAATCCCTCTTCCCTTTCCCCAGTCAGATCTGCATCCCAGCTCCTCTGCCTACTCTAGCTCCCTTGCTCTGTTATCAATTTTTTTTTGGCCATTTTCCTAACAAATCTCTTGCATATCTAACTCTGAACTGGCATCTGCACCTCAGAATATCAAAATAACACCACCCCCACTTTACTGAAGAAATTGAGGTGATTAATACAAGGTCATATAATTAAGATTCAAACATACATCTCTCTGACTCCAAAGCCCAACTTCTTAACCAATTATTTAAAGAACAAGGAATATGTGCTGATACACTTTGCAAAGCAATGCCATAAAAATTAACATGACTATACAGAAGACAAAGTAGCACAACTTTCATCTGAGGAAGCTGCTCCATCGTCAGCAGACTGACACTCTGTAGATGAGTCCTATAATCTCATTTTCTCACTTTTTTTTAAGAATGAACACAGGTTCTCATGTACACTAAGCAAGTGCTCTACTACTGAGCTCAGCCCAAGTCCATCTATTCTTCCCTTATGGATTGCAAGATTATTGATAAACCTATTCACTTCATACAATAATAAAAATGAGATTCTCTTTCAAGAAAAAAGGCAAATACAGTCTGTGAATTGATTCTGCTAATTGCAAAGTATGTGTAAGTGCATAATGGCTCTAAACCATTTCAAAGGAAATATAATCACTTCTCTCAAATAGACCCCTAAAATGATAATGGGATGAAGAAAAACTAAAGACAAAATCTAATACAGTAAGTCCCCAACTTATGAATGAGTTTCACTCCAGGAGAATGTTCCTAAGTCGGATTCATTCCTAAGTCCAACAAAGTGAATCTTTTTTTTTTGGTCCTTTTGAGACAGGGTCTCGTTATGCAGTTCAGGAAAGTGAATCTTATACAGTATACCCAGGAAACTTGAATACCTGTACATTGGGGACTTCCTGAAAATGGCTTTTCTGCCTTACGATTGTCTCTTATTTGTGCATAAAGTCCCCGAACCTGTTAAGAGTGCCCGGCACACATTAGGCATTCACTGAATAACTGAGAACAACTTCATAAAGCTCTCCCATCAGCACCTTTCTGTCTGGAGCTACTGGTCAAAAATCCCCCACATCCTCAGGTGCAAAGCTTAGTGAGTACCTGGCAATTCATGTTGTCCTCCGCTTCAATGAGCTTCCCCCGATATACTTCGCCAGTGTTTGTCTCGCATGTCACAATGTGGCCCTCCGCCTCATGCAGGACTTTAATCGGCACACCAATAGACATCTTGACGGGAGAGAGTTCTATAGTGAGAGAAACAAAAATCAGTTCATCTTTGAGAGGGCTGAAAAAGCTTGGCATTCCAGAAAACTTTGTAAAGATGAGCCAAACAAAAAGACACACCGGGTGTGGTGGCACACACCTGTGATCCCAGTACCAGGAGGCTGAGACAGAAAGATCGCTGCAAATTTGAAGCCAGCCTGGGCTACATAATGAGTTCCAGGTCATCCTGAACTGCACAGTGAGACTCTGACTCAAAAACAAACAAACACTTAACACACCAAGGCTTTATTTTCTATAGAAGAAGGTCAGTTCCTGACTTGGAGAACCCCTTATGGTAAAAACATACAAAATGTGATGTGGGCAGGATAGTAGGCTGAAGAGGGGAAAGCTAACAGGAAAGAAAAGAATGTCCCCCTTCTCCCTCTCTACTGTATGTCCCTTTATCAAAACCATTAACCAACACGTATGCTGCACAGGTGGGGACTGGTACACATTTGCAGAATATATCTGTCAATCCACAGTTGTGGGCAACTCCAGTTTGAGAATCACGATATACACTTGAGCTGTGGTCACTGTCTATATATAGCTATTTAAATTAAACAAAACAAAAAATACAGCTCTCAGTCACACCAGCCATATTCAAAGCTCAACAACTACATGTGGCTAGGGGATGTGGTACTAAATGACACAGAGACAGACCAAATGACCCAGACAAATCTAGAAGGGTGCTTTCAATGAAGCTATTTGCACCTCCACTTACTTTACAGGCTAAAAAGAAAATACCAAAGTAGGGCACTTTGTTCTAAAGAGATACCGGACTCGAAATGGGAACACAGTCGGGCGTGGTGGCGCACGCCTGTAATCCCAGCGCTTGGAAGGCTGAGGCAGGAGGATCGTTGTGAGTTCCAGACCAGCCTGGGCTACAAAGTGAGCTCAAAGCGAGCCTGAATTGCCTAGCGAGACCCTGTCTCAAAAAGAAAAAAAAAAATAAGGGGAAGCACATTACATGAGTACAAGAGACAAAAGAGAATGAAGACGAGGTTGGCAAAGACAAGCTCCCTTGATGAGGGTCCATGGCTTTCAGCTATAGAATTCTGCGTGTTATGCTGAAGACAGCGGGGAGCTACCACAGAATTATAAGTAGGAAAAGAATCAAGCATGTACAAAACGAATAGAACGTACAGCTTAAAAATAAAGAAACTTACTAAAACTCCTGCAGTGTGGAAAGCATGAGACCACCGCCAGAAAGGGGACTGGAGGCAGAGATGCAAGAACGCCATAAAGGATGACCCAGCTAGGGCTTCTGGGAAAGCAGTAATTATAGAAAAATAACTTCAAGATTATTGTCTGAATGTTTCGCAAAACAGTTACATGGAGAGCTACGGAAAGTGAAAGCCGTTTACTTTTCGGGGAAAAGTAATGACTTCTAACAGCGCTAGTGAGGCGAAGCTGAGGTTTGGGTGGCGCTGGCTTCCCGCTCTCTTCCCTCCCCAGTCCCCCGGACTCCTCAGCGGCGAAGCCTTCTTTAGACTCACGGGCACCTTGGCCTCCCCTTGCGCACCTTAAGACTTTTTGTACCGGCTGCGGTCTCCTATTCCTTCTCCTCCTCCTCTTCGGCGCAAGCAACTAGCAGCAGAGATACGACGGGAAAGGCGCGCGGAAGGCGAATGGCGGACCCCGCGCTCCCAGGATACCACGCGTTCCCAAAATGCCGTGCGCAGCGCTCGGCCCTTTCCTTTCCCCAGTGGTAAACGCAGTCTAATCTCCGCTTCCTCCTCACTCCGCCGGGTGGGAAACAAGCGCTCTGGTACTATAGTTCCGGAACAGGAAGCGAGGAGGCTGATGACGGCCCGGGAGCCGCCGGAAACACCGACCCTTGAGCTGCCTTGGTAGGTCGGGGGCTCACACTGCCAAGCAACCCATATCAAAGACCGGCTGCTGATGGCAGGCGGAGATCTGGGTCCTGGGCCTTCTTATCGGAAGCAGCAAGAAGTGCGGAGAAGGGGTGGAACCTCCTCTCACAGTTTAACCTTGGAATCCCATCACCGCCAGGTAAGGGGTCCCTGAGCGAGGCGAAGTATCGCCTCCTATAGGTAGGGAAGGAAGCAGGTGTGGAGGAGGAACCGGCCCGGGGCAGTCCTTAAAGGGAGTCGGGAAAGGGTTGCTTGGAGCCTCTACGAGGCATTGGGCGGGATCAGAGCTAACACCTGAGGCTGCAAAGGGCCGGGCCGGGCGGAGGCGGAGCTTGCAAAGGCGCAGAGTCTCAAGACCCAATGTTCGCTCTACGCCGGGGCTCCGGGGCGGGACTCAGAGGAAGGGGCGGAGTTCTGGGGACCACGTCGGGGGAGGACCTGTGCGTCGGCGCAGAGGAGCGGGGCCGCCAAAAGCCGCGACTGCGAATGGCCGGGGCCTCTAGAAACTGAAGTCTGAGAAGGGAGAGGCGGGGCTTATCAAAGGGGCGGGGCCTCCGCGTCCCAGAGCTGGAAGGGACGGGGCGGGGCTTGGGGTGGCCCATCTGCCGACTCGGGCGGAGGAACTCGGCTCGCACTGGCTGTGCTGCCGGCTCAGCAGAAGTCGAAGGTGCACACGGGGTCGGACCGGGGCCATGGGCGCCCCGCGCTGCCCGGGTCATGAGGACGGAGGCGGAGGCAGCGAGGGCGCAGCTCGATCCCGGTCAGTGCCTCTCCGAGGGCCCAGCCCTCATCCCGGGGACCGAGTGGGACTCCGCCCTAGCGTAGGGCAGGGTCCGGCTGCGCGCGACCTTGGACTGACTGCCGCCGCAGCCCAGGTTGTGAGCTTGGAGCGAAACCTGCCTTGGTGGACATTCCCACCTCGGCTCCCAGCCACCCCCCCCCGTCTTCATTTGGGGTTTCCTGGTACTCCCGGGGCTGGGACCCTAGTCACAGCCGTCACGAGGGAGGGTCTGGGTGGCAGGGTCGTCGTCTTCCCTGGAAATTATTAGTCCTGGGGCCACCTTGGGAGGTCCCTGTGGAGGAGCTGAGGCCAAGAAAGGGAGGAAACTGCCTGAGAGCACCCCGTCGTGGGAAGGCCCGAGTCTTGCTGCAAGTTCTTCACTGTCCTTACTTCTGCCCCGGGAAAGACAGAGCCCCTTGCTCCCCACCCCTAGAAGTGGGGAAAGGGGGGCAGTCACGCTGGATCTCCTTTGGGGCAGAGACCAAGACTGACGTTCAGTCCTGGGCCTCGATTTGCTTGTCCAAGAAGTGGGAGAAGGAGGAAGTCGTGGTTCCTGCTGTGCTAAGGCACAGGGCTGTTAGTAAACAGTAAAGCGATGAGGTGCCAGCTCCGGGAGAGGTCAAGAGCGCGTGGGACCCAGAACCTAAGGTGTCAGTGGGACCATGGCGTCACACCCAGGCTGTGGTCTCTTGTGATTGCAGCATGGTATAGGTACCGACGCTATATTGGGAACCGCATCCCTTCTCTTCCAATTATCTAACATTGTTATTGACAAGGTTCTTGCCTTGCCTGAGCCTTGGGGGAGTGAGTAATGGCTCACATTTGTAGGGACCTTTTCCTTGAGGCAGGTTCCGGGCTAAATTGTTTATATGTCATGCCCCATTAAACCTCAGAACAACCCAGTGAGGTAGGTGATTGGTGTTATATGCAGTTTGGCAGAACAGCAGAGCAAGGCTGAGGGGGGCTAAGTGTCCAGGGACAGTGGGTGGACAGCCACCAACTCTAGCCAGGCCAGGGCCTTCCAGGCAAACACTAGCTCTCTAGTGGGGTAGTTCCTTGGGTCCAGGGATCAACATCTGGCAGCTTTGGGCTTGGAAGAGTAGAGTTTTTATCATCAAGACAAATGCCAAGGTCTCGCCTATGGCTATCACCTCCCGCAGGGACATCTGCACATGGGCTGGTCTGCCCAAGCCAAGACTGGGATGGCCATATGGGGATGTTTACCCTGTGGGGCCTTAGGATCAAAGGGTTCTAGGGCTCAGGGCAAGAAGAGGAGAGGCAGCTGATTCTCTTGGGACCCTAAAGAGCAATTGTCCTGTACCCATTTTTAGCTAGGCTTAAAGGAAGGCATGCACAGGGTCACAGCCCAGCGGAGGGTGGCCTAGGTAGTCCAGTGCCAGAGGCCAGGCCACAGAGAAGGGAAAGATCCTCCAACAAAGGGTCGTAGTCTGGAAGCCTGGGACAAGAGGCGCTGCAGTGACAAGCAGTGACAGGCATCTCAAGGGAAAAGGCCTTTTTGGAAAACACTTCACCAAGCACTTCTGAATGTCTGCTGTGAGTCAGGCATGGTGGCATAGGCTTGTCTTCCCTATACCACCAGGCAGGAGGATCACCCTGAGTTCAAGGCCAGCCAAGACTCTATCTTAAAACAAAACAACACTGAATGTCTGCTGTGGGCTGGAGGAGACAAACAGGCCTGTTCCCACCTGCAGCCAGAGTCCTCAGTCTGTGTAGTGGGGAAAGCAGATGTCACCTTGAGAGGCTCTTAGAGAGGGACTGGAACACTTGAATGTTCCTGGATAGGGGGACAACCTTCTGGGCTAGATTATGCAAGAGCAAAGGCTGGAGGGTAATCTACCTCAGGAGAGAAAAACAAGGCTATTTATAGCCACAGTGAGGGGTTCTGGAAAGGGAAGACACCCACCCTGATAGTGCCACACCCTGCAGAGAGCTCCACTCAGCCTGCTGTGGGGAACTACTTTAGAATATTACTTCCTGGAGAGCTGGGTCAGTCTTTGGTCACATTTGTGTGCCAAGAGCCTAACCCGCAGTGAGTGCTTAATAAGTTCATTTCTTCTAACGTGTAGTAAGTTATTGAATTACTACCGAACATCAGGCACCCGACACTGGGAGTCACAGCGAACAACATGTTCCTTGCTTAGTCCATTTGCGTAGCTGTAACAAAATCCCTGAGGCCAAAGTCGTTTGTAAACAAGAGAAATTTAATTTTCCACAGTTCTTAGAAGTCCAAGATCAAGGTGCCTGTGGGTTCAGTGTGTGGTAAAGGCCCATTCTTCATGGATAGCTCTGCTGAGGTGTCCTTACACGGTGGGAAGTACTAGAAAGGGGAAGAACTCTGTGTCCTCACGTACCAGATCAGAATGGTGGAGGAGGAGGGAGGTTGTAGGGGGGAGGCCTAAGCTAATTCCTTCTGACTGTTTTATAAAGCACTAATCCATTCATGAAGGCAGAGCCTTCACACGGAATCACTTACCCCTAAAACTCTACCTCTTAATACTACTATAATAGGGGTGAATTTTGGGGAAATGTGTTCAGACCATAGTACCTGCCCTAGTCCCTTGGGAAGACAGTATCCTCTGTGGTCATTACTTTTGCTAAACGTGGAGGCGGCCTCTTCACTTCTCAAAAGGCATAGAAAAAAAATTCACAAAAGATACCAGATTTTAAGCTAGGGCTTGAGTGGCAAGAACAGCAGAAGGAAGAGAAGTTGCAGACAGAAGATGCCATTCATGCAAAGGCCCTGGGGTAGAATGAAGGCATCTGGGTTTACAGAGTAACTGGAACACAGTTGAGGGCTGAGATAAGTCTGGTACACCCAGGTTGGGCAGGGACCTGCAGGCCCTCGGTCCTTCGGGTAAGAAGTGAGACCTTTATTGTAAAAGCAGTGGGAAACTGGATGAGATTCCTTTGGCTGCTGTGCAGAGACAGAAGAGGGGTGGAATTCGGGAGAGGACAGGCAGGACTGAAATCATGGCAGTTGTAGGAAGCAAATGTGCAAGGGCCATGAATGAAGAACCTGATTCTTTTAGAGGCGTCTGGGTAAGAGGAAGGAAATGAAGCCTGCACTCTGCCAGGGCTGAGCACACCAGGTCCCACCTGGAGGAAGGGTCACATCAGCAGTGCCAAGGGCTGTGCATGCTGTTGTCCTGAGTGCTCACGGCACCCTGCACATCTACAGCGGTCCGTTCCAGAGGAGGAAGGAAGCACGGAGAAGTCAGTGGATTCAGCTAGCAGATGGCCTGCCTTGCCCATGCCCGCCTGCCTCCCTCTAGCCTGCTGCACACCCTGGGAGGGGAGGAGCAGCCAGGATCCGTCACAGGGCCCTGCCGCCTAGAAACATAGAAACCTCCCACCAGCACGTAGACAGACTTCATGCAAAGGTTTTGTCCTGTGAGCCGAAGCGTGAACTCAGGCCCGGAGGAATATACACGAGGGACAGGCCTGGCCGGCCTGGGATCGGAGAACGTCCTGAGCCTGGCTCCGAGGACTGTTCGCTATAGGAGGGTAGGAGTCTGAGACTTGGACAAAGGCAAGAGGTCTGAACGGGCAGCACAGACTCCACAGCTGCTGAGTAGCCCTCTGGGTTTGCGTGCGCTGGGGAGCAGTGGGGCCGGCTGGCCTGGGCTGGCCTCCTGGGGTGGTTCTGCGCAGAGCCAGTCACACTGTCCAGATGGAGAAACGAGGGCGCGCTGGGTCTTCAAGTGCTGAGTAGCTGTCACAGTAAGCAGGAGTGGTGACCGGTATAGGAAAGTCCCTTGGGTTTTTTTAGACTCTGAACTTTGTCCAGATTCCTGGGGTAGCAGAGTAGGAAGATCCTGCAGGCCCTGTGCCAGCTCACCCTGGCCCGAGGGCCTCAGTGGGGTTGTTTGTTCCCTGTCTGCCTTGTGCTCCCCACACACCCTTCTGGGCAAGCCTCCACCATTTTCCCAGCCTAGGCTGCTGCTGCTTCTCTTTCTCTCTCTCTCTCTCTCTCTCTCTCTCTCTCTTTTGCTTTTTAAAAAATTTTATTGGTACAATGTAGATATACACAATAACATTCATCATAGGGAATTTGTACCTGAACATGGTATATCATGATTCTCTTTGTTTTCCCCATTCCTCTCCCTTCCCTTCAACCCCTCTCCCCCTCCTTATTTACAAAGGACTTTGTAAACATTACTTTGTTTCTATTTTTTCCTTCTATTTTTTCTTGTTCCTTCCTTTCTCCTCCCTCCCTTGTTCCCCTTCTTATTTGAACATTTTCTTCCCATTTCCCAATAGTCGTTATGCCTTTTGGTCCTTATTTACATTTTTGGTTTCTCACACCAGCGAAACGATGAGGTATTTAAACATGTGTGCCCAGTTTATTTCACTTAAGAGTATGGTCTCCAAGTGCATCCATGTAGCTAGAAATGTCTCAGGTTTATCCTTCTTTATGGCAGAGTAGTACTTCATCATATAAAAAGACCACATCTTTATCCAGTCGTCAGTTGATGGGCACTTGGGCTGTTTCCATGATAGCTATTGCAAACTGTGCCACTATAAACATGGTGGTTATTTCTTAATTTGCTGGTGTTTGCTGCCACCGGGACAGGGACCTTATTCACTCAGCACTTCACTGCAGTGCACATACCAGGTCCTTACTTGGAAAATATTTGTCAGTCCAATGACCAGATCAGATCAAAGGTCTCCACTTCGGGGATGGTCACACTCCGTGAGAGGAAGTCATTTTCCCAGCCCACAGCCAGCCAGTGACAGAGCCGGCACTGGAACTCCCAGGTCAGGCCCTTTCTGTTCCACCTCACAGCCTGCCAAGGACAGACCTGGAGGTTGCCCAGGGACAGTGGTGATGGAGCTCCCAGGAATAGTCCACATGTATAGTTCGTATGACAGCTCTTCCTTCTAGCTGGGACCTTCATACGTTGGTAGTTAGTTAGGCAAACCTGCTGAGAAACTGCGAACTTTAACCTGCTGAATGAGCCCGTGTGTCAGCTTTGGTCTGAGAGCAGGAAGCAAAATAGCCCATGTCCCTGCCTCCTAAAAGAAGAGCTCTGAGGGAAAGGCATGAGTACTTGAGTAGACCTAGTGGGGGGCCAGGTACCCCTCAGAGAAGTGAGGGCTGGAGCCAGCCGCGTCCAGGCAGAGGGAGCAGGTATACAAAGACCCCCTGGGTGTGAGGGATCGTGACAGGTGCCGGTTCTACCTAGAGGGTGGTGAGGAAGCAGGAAGTACTGGGCCAGCAGCTCTGAAGGTGTTGTCCAAAGACGGTCCACTGGGGGTTTTTGGGTAGGACGGACTGGCTCTGGCTGGTGTTTTTTGGGAGATCACTGGTGGTGTAAGGAGAGGGGAGGAGCGTGGGAAGGCCTGTGAGCCCCGACAGCATCTACGCAGGCGGCAGTGGTAGTGTCTTCAGTGGGTGGCAGTGGTCGGCACTGTCCTGAGGGTTGAAGCTTCATCTGTTTCCATGCAGGGGACTTCGTGCAGCTGCCTGTGCCCATCATTCAGCAGCTCTACCACTGGGACTGTGGCCTAGCCTGCTCCAGGATGGTGCTGCGGTGAGTGGGTGGGCCCAGGGCTGGGGGTTCCAGGCCTCCCCTAACCATACCACCTCCTATGACCTGGGTGGGAGTCATCACCCATACAGCTGTCTTTGGCTAAGGCTTGCAAGAGGACCAGCTTCCCACGGGTCATGTCCCATCTGCCAATGTGAGTAGAGGGTGAGCTAACTCACCCAAATCTCTACTCAGATGATGCCTGGGAGCTCAGGGGTCAGGGAAATCCTAGGGGCACAGTCCTGCCCCACAGACAAGCTCTGTGGCTGAAATAGGGGGACCTCCCGCCTCCTGGCCCCAGGCTCCTGAGAGGCTGCATGAATATTACAGGAGCCTTAACCATCAGAGCTGGAAGGGATACACCCATCACCTTGTATAAGAGTTTTCAGTCTGCTGTCTGGAATCTCAGACAGCCTGTTTTACGTACTAGAATTCCCAGGAAAGATAGAAATCAACAAGAGTTCAGTGCCTAAAACTTTGAAAACCACTGACATGATGCAAGGGCCTCATCTTACGGATGAAATGAGTGACACCCGGAGAGGGCATCTTTGTGCCCAAGGTCACATAGCCCCCAAGAGACATAAGGAGCAGAATCCAGGCCCTTGATTCCGAGGCTGTGACAGTGTCCAGGTAGCCTGATAGTCCTCAGCTGCTCAGGCAGCCGTGGACAGGCCACAGAGTTTCATGAAGAACAGAGTCCTCTGACAGGCCCCTCTGACAGTGGCTGTCAGGTCCGTGGGTAGAACGAGACCTGGCCCAGCTCTCCTCAAGAGCCAGCTGACCTCAGCTTGTCTGTCTGCAGGTACCTAGGCCAGCTGGACGATGGAGAGTTTGAGAGTGCCTTGCAGGAGCTGCGGCTGACCAGGAGCATCTGGACCATTGACCTAGCCTACCTGATGCGCCATTTTGGCGTGAGGCACCGCTTCTGTACCCAGACCTTGGGTGTTGACAAGGGCTACAAGAACCAGGTGAGCAGCCGGCCAGTGGGCCTTCTTAGTGGGGGCCACGGAGGGGCATAGGTTGTGCAGATGTAGCAGTTACCAGAGAGGGTGGTCAAAGCCAGGGCATCCAAATGGATCCACAAGTGCAGAGATTGGGGCAGTGGCAGATGGGCTATTAGCAGGATTTGCAAGCCAGTCAGAGGTGACCTTGGTGCATTTGGAGCGTTAAGCACTGAGTCCTGGCTCCTGCCTGCCTTCCTACATGCTCAGGGGACATGCAGAGGGCCGTCTGCCTTTCTGCATTCTTCCTGCTGTTGCCCAGCACAAGGCAGGCTGAGGGTCTCAGAGCATATAACTCTGACCTCACGTGGCCATCATTTGCCTGTTTTTGTTTTTGTTTTGTAGTACTGGGGATTGAGCCTAGGGCTTTGCTCGTGCTAGGCAAGTGCTCTGCCATGGAACTGTATTGCTAACCCTTCTCCTTTGGGACAAGATCTTGCCAGATTGTCTGGGCTGACCTTGAACTTACGATCCTCCCGCCTCAGGCTCCTGAGTAGCTGGGATCACAGGCACAGGCAACTGTGCTTGGCATGTTTGCCTCTTTTCTTCCTTCTCACCAGGACAGCCAGCTCTAAGCTTGGTGGTTGGTGTTCTGAAATAAAAGCCAATACTGTCTTCCTTTTTTTCTTTCTATCCATTATTGAAAAATTATGCCAAGCCAGGCATGGTGGTGCACACCTATAATCCCAGCACTCAGGAGGCTGAGGCAGGAGGATTGTTGAGAGTTCAAGACCAACCTGGGCTACAAAGTGAGCTCAAGGCCAGCCTGAACTGCATAGTGAAACCCTGTCTCAAAAAGACCAAAAAAAAAAAAAGAAAAACAATACCAACTTCGATGGCTGTGCCAGCATACCACTGTGTTCTATCTCCATGCAAAGCTAGGGCCAGTTTTACCTGCCTCTAAGCAGATCTTGGCCCAGGCTTCAGAACTTGGCAAAGCGGAGTTACTGTTGTTCTTACCGGACAGAAGGCTTTCATGTGGTGGCCAGGGCCAAATCAGCCTACCTCTCCTGTGAACCCGCCAGCCCACGGGAAGAAGGCTAATAAACAAGGCCTGGTTGGGCAGAGACATGGGCCTGAGAAGCAGAGTCTCTTCAACCTTCCCCACAGGGGCTCTGGCCCACTTAATCCCCTGTACCAGATAGAGTGTGTTCAGTGGACCATGCCTGGCTAAGCCGTCCTGGCTGGGGCCTGCGCCTCCATTTGCCTCAGGCTCATATTTGTCCATGTTTGCCAGACGATGGCCTGAGCCTGGCCGCTCATCTCAAGTGTCCTCTGCATTCCTCTGTGTGCTCCTGTGCCCTCCCTGGCGGGGGACAGACATAGCTCTCTGACTAGATGTGGAGCCCCGCAGCAGGCTCCTCTGGCTGCCCACGTCTCTCTTTCTGTAACGCACTCTGCTACATCCTGGTGGCGTGAGGGTAGCCGGGTGGTGCTCACTCCAGCCTGTCTTTCTCTGTCCAGTCTTTCTATAGGAAGCACTTTGACACAGAGGAGACCCGGGTGAACCAGCTGTTTGCACAAGCCAAGGCCTGCAAGGTGCTGGTGGAGAAATGGTGAGCCCTCCGCCGCCCACTCTTCCTTCCACGGCCACTAACCCTGGGGAGACTTGCAGTTGAAGGCCGCTCAGAATGGCATTTGGAAAAGACTGCAGCTCTGGAGTCAGGCAGAACTGGGGTTTCCTACACCGGTAGCTGGGTACACCGAGTTGCCTCTCTGAGCCTTGGTTTTTCAATCTATAAAATGGGGATCAGTGGGGCTGTGTAACCCAGGCCCTGGCCTGAGTTGGCTCCTGAGCAGGTGCTGGAGGGACAGGTGAGCGAGACAGAGTGTGGCCAGTCCTCGGGGGTTCCTGGCTGTACCTCAGATTTTTCCGTCATGGTGCGGATTCATGTTTTCATGACTAACATGATGTCACCGCGTGACCGATTTGGAAAACAGGGAGACTCCTGCTTTGACCATGTTAGCGTGTGTCAGAAGGAGAGGCAGCGAGTGTTCATTTAGGGCCCTCTGCGGCTGCTGTCTCACTGACTGGAGAGGACGCGGCGGTGTGTGATCCTAGCTCACTATTTCCCGAAGTGGCAGTCCTCCCTTCCAGCCGGCTCCTGCATTTTTCCCATAACTGAAATGCTCCCCTCTGTACCTCTTGGGCACACTGCCAGCTCTTCCAGATAGAAAAAATAGCAGGTTTCCTCGCCCAAGGCGGCAAAGCGAACTGCCACGTGACTCAGCCGAGGCTGCTGCTCGTCCTGAAGAGACAATTAATGAAGGTGGCCCCAGCTGGGGAGCCCTTCAGCAAAATGGGGCCGCTCCTTTCCTCGCCCTGCTCAAGCCCCTTCTGTCCCTTTTCAGTTTTTACTTGGATTTGCTGCCTGCTGGGGTATACAGAACAGGGCCGTTCCTATGAGTTTGCCTCCAGGGGTGTCTCTGCTGAAGGGGCCGCTCCTCGGTCAGTGCTGCCAACCAGCGCAGTCTGAGTGGTGTCTTCTGCTACAGGGAACCTTAGGGAAAAAAGAAAGAAAGAGAGAGAGAGAAAGAGAGGAAGAGGGAGAGAGACAGAGAGAGAAAAAGAAAGAAAGAAAGAAAGAAAATAGCCCTTTTAGAAAATCATTTGGTTGGGAATCTGGCTGGCCAAGCTTGGCTCAGATTTGAGGAAGTGAGTTGGGCTGGCGATCCCAGTGTAAACCACATAGGATTTGGGGTAAAGAGGAGATGAGAGTTTGGCCCAGAACTTCACCATCCAGGCCAGGAGTGGAGTTCCAGTTGCTACTCTGGTGACCCTGAACTGGACCCACCTGGAGCTGACCTCCTGTGTGCCCTTCCCTACGAGCCCGGCCAGTCCTGTGCTCTCTCAGACACCACCTCCCTCTCACCCCACCCCTGCATTGGTCCTGTGGTTGGCCCTGGGCTGAGCTCGGGCTAAAGTGACAAGCAAGGACTTCTCTAGGCATAGGCAAGGAGCTCAGGGCAGAGGGAAGACAAGCCAGGTCCCTCAGTTTCATATCACAGAGGAACAGGGCTTGCAAACCGAAACGTGTCCACTAGCAGACCCCGTCCCGCCCACAGCACGGTGAGCATCCAGGACATCCAGGCGCACCTGGCTCAGGGCCACGTAGCCATCGTGCTGGTGAACTCGGGGGTGCTGCACTGCGACCTGTGCTCCAGCCCCGTCAAGTACTGCTGCTTCGCCCCCAGCGGACATCGCTGCTTCTGTCGCACCCCAGACTACCAGGGCCACTTCATCGTGCTGCGCGGCTACAACAGGGCCACTGGCTGCGTCTTCTACAACAACCCAGCCTACGCGGACCGTGAGTGCTGGGAGCAGGCTGGGCCAGGGCAGTCTGCGTTCACTGTCTTCTGTACCCCACGCCACAGCTTCCTCCCATTCAATCTGTTGTGACGAAGATCTCCCTCTGCGCCTTGCCCCACATTCCCCCTCCTCCTGGGCTCCAGTCCTCTGGACCGCCCCCTCCGGCCAGGCAAGCAGGCCAGCCACCACCACCGCCGCCGCCAGGTCCCACCTTCACGCCTCAGGCTGCACGGCTGCCGTCCCAGTCCCAGCCCTCCCAGGATTGATAGCACAGTCATTAGAAAATCAGGCAAGACCTGGCCTTAGCTCCAAACTGCCCGCTGCCCTCGGGGCACATGGAAGGGCTACTTCCTCGTCTGTCCATGTAGCCCGGAGCGTATTTGTTTCTCTCTCTGGGCCCACTTACTTCATCAGCTCAACTGGGGAGGGGTTAGAGAAAATTGCCTTTGCAGCCCAGAAAAGGCCAGGAGTAGAGTGCTTGAGTTGAGCGTAGTGGCCAGGTGGGTGGGACGCAGACCTCAGTCAGCTCCCATGGGCGCTGGTGGGGTGAGCACCCTCTCTTCAATCACTGACCCCACTTTTCTGTCCTTGTCCCCAGCAGGAATGTGCAGCACCAGTATCAGTAACTTCGAGGAAGCCAGAACCAGCTATGGCACGGATGAGGACATCCTCTTTGTCTATCTGGATAGCTGACACCAGGAACCTGTTGTGCCCAGGTCCTTGGACCCTGCACCCTACCCCTGCCAGGCCCACTCAGGACCCTCAGGCCTGGGGCTGCGGGGACTTGGAGCCTTAGCCTGTCTGCCTGGCACACCCGCTTTGCCCCCCAGTGCTGTGTTGTCATGCTGCTCACCCCAAGCACCTGTTGGTTGCTGGAGGCATCCTCAGACCGGTGGAGGGAAGCCTCCCCCAGCACATCAAACCTGATTCCTGTCAGGCCCAGAGGAAGTGCAGGCCCAGGGCGAGGGGAGAAGCCCGAGTCAGTCACCCCCACAGACCTCAGGAACCTGGAGAGAGAATTCACCTGACCTGAGCCCGCTTGTCAGGACCGCGCCTGTGTGTTCCGAGAGTACAGATGAACCTCAGCCCTGGAGCTGTACTGTCCTAAGCCCTGGCCTCCTGCAAGTGCTGCAGAGCCCCAGGTCCCCGTGGTGGGCGCCATCACCACTGCCTCCTTCCTCTTAGTGGCTGCCAGTTTCTATGACTCATTTCAAGGCCTCTGGTCCTGAGTGTTCCGCACAGACACCGTCCCAGCCACTGTGCTCTGCAGCGCCCCGGCCCTGGGGACGCTGGGGCTCCTCACGGCCTTGTAGGTACTGTGTCCCTAGGACAGGGTGTCCTCGGTAGTGAGCCCTCCATCCGCTGCTGCGCCCGGGGGCTGGCATCAGGGAACGTGCTTCAGGAATGAACAGCTGCACAGACCCATTGCCCCCACACACGGGCCCTCTGACACCAGCCTAAATCCCACCAGGGGAGGCCTCCTCCCACGTGTGGAGAGCCCCAGGCCCTGCACTCTGATTCAGTGGGAAAAGGGCAGCCTGTGGCCACCTCCCACCCGAGTTTTCACGCCAGGACCTTTCGCACAGAGTACTGGGTCTCTTATCTTGATGGAGAGGAGCAATGCCTCTCCAAGATCACCCAGCACCTCCAAATGGCATTGGCTGGAGCTAGTTCCTTGCTGTTTTTTTTTGGGGGGGGGTGGAGGGCAGAGCAAGTTTGTTTTTGCGGTACTAGAGATTGAGCCCAGGGCCCTCACACTGAGTGATATCCCCAGCCCTTTTTTAAATTTTGAAACAGGGTCTTGATAAATTGCCCAAGCAGAACTCAGACTTGTGATCCTCCTGCCTCTGCCTTCCAAGTGCTAGGATTACAGGCATTCACCACTGCACACAGCTTGTTTTATGGAGATTTTAAGTTTTCACTTTTGGAATAATAGTGAGATTGCAGGTACTTTGGAACCACTAACACCTCTTTTCACATGGCAGGTAAGCCAGCCTCTGTTCTTTTTCAGAGAGAAGGAGCCTAGCCCGTGGTCTGAATCCCATGCCCCTTGCTTTACAGAGCAGGCAGCCAGCCCAGACTGGGGACAGTCTGCCATGACAGTGGGTCTTGAAGGCAGATCTGCACATCAGAAATAAGGGAAGTGGGTCATCCCTCAGGGGCTGGGGACACTTCCCCTCTTAGGTTCCCTTTGGCAAAGAGACAGTTGTACCCCGATGGCCCCACATCCTTTCAGTCCTGGGGCTTGGTCTTCCAGTGCCTGAGGTGTGACGAGGTGAGTTGTTTCCCCACGTGCCAGCCTCCCCCCGCCCCATCGTGGTAGCTCAGAGAGGCAGAGGTGGGTTTTGCTTACAAGGGCTGTCAGACTACTCAGCCGTACTGTTGTTCCTCAGTACCAGATGCAGCCTTGGGCCAAGGTGCTGTTAGCTAGGCAGCCACCCTGGGTTTTAGAAACCTGGGTTGCCTTCAGTCTGGTCTTATTTCCATGGCCTTAATGCTGGATGGCCTGAGGTCCCAGGGAACTCTGGCTGCAAGCCCAGGAGTACTACATATGGTAGCTGCGGGGTGTGGGCATCCTCAGGACAAATTCAGATAAAACTGTGAGAATAGTTGTACAGAGGAAACCAGTAGGAGGAAGTGACACTTCCAAGATGACTGGATGTGAAAAAGGCACAGCACACGTGCTGGCGAGGCTGTCGGGAGGAGTAGCCTCCGCAGAAAGCCGTCACGGTGCCGCAGCCACCTAGGACACGGAAATGCTTGGTCCCTGGGCCCAAATGATGGCTTCGTGGGTAAGTTACAAATTAAACAGAAGCCACCTCTCCGTTCAGTTTAACAAGATGCTGCCTGTCCCCAAGACCCGTCTGCCTGAGGAGGGTTACAGAGGCAGGATAGAAACCGCGCGGTATTCTTGCACAAGTCACAGCAGCGGGGTTGGAGGAAACCCAGACACCAAGGACTTCGTCCACAGCATGTCGCGTCTACAGCTGCCCAGCCTGTGCTCACACTGCAGCCCGGAGCAGCCCTGGAAGCCACAGGGGACAGTAGGCAGCATTGTCCACTCTTAACTACGGGGGGAGGGAGGGATGAAAGGGATCTTTTGCATTGCATAGATTTTATACATAAATATATTTTGTTTGTAATGAGCCATTCTCAATAAACATTATTCTCACTGCACTGTGGTGGAGCCCTTGGCTGACCTTGGTGAAGCAGTGTTAATCTGTAGAATGCCTGTCTGCTTCCCAAGTTCCCAGCGCGAGCACATAGGAAATTCCCAGTTTTAGCTGGGACTGGGATCCGGTTTTTTGGCTCTCCGGGCCCAAATCCCTCCATTTAGCCCTTGATCCTTGTGCGAGGCCCAGACAGGCAATGCACACGGAGGGTTTCAGGGCTCAGACAGCTCATCTTGAAGAGGTGGGAAGGAGCCGCTGGCTGGGGCAGAGGGAATGAGAAAGATAGTGGGGCTCAGGAAGGATCCTCTTGGGCAGGACTCCAACCTTCCTGGCACCCTCCACCCCCAAGCACACTTACCTGCCATTACTACTTGTAGTATTTCACCTGATAACTTTATTTCAAAATTCCGCTTCTGAGAAAAAGAAGTGTTTGGAAATTCTGGGTGACCTAGCAGCTTCAGGGTTGCCCCAGCCCCTTGAGGGGGCTGAGAGAGCCACATCAGCTTCCTGGTAGGGTCTGGCCTCTCACCTAATGTTCTCAGGCTAACTGCCCTTTTGGTCCCGCCCAGCTCAATTTCAATTTTATTTGTTGGATAGTCTTACTGTATAATCTAGGCTGGCCTTGAACTCACAATCCTCCTGACTCAGCCTAGGGTGTGGACATGCATTAACAGACGTTCTGACCAAGGTCTTGGACTCTTGCCTCCAAACCATAGAGCAGCCGTGGACTCACACCTTTGGTTGAGCTGATCCCTGTGGAGGCAGCACAAAGCAGTCAATGAGGTGCCCAGCTGGGTCATGCCAGTTGGCATACTGAGTGTTCTCTGTATCAGCTGCATGTGGACACTGCTAGCAACCTTGCTCTTTGCACTTCAGCTTGAGTCTCTGGCCCACCCTAGGGGAAGGGCATCATCCTGAATGGGCACATTTTGGGTTGTGGGCACCAAGTGGCCACCAGATGCAACTATGGGAGACAGGATGTGGGCGATGCTGAAGCATGAAGAGCAAAGACAGTAGAGTAGGGAGGCCCGGGTGCAGCTGACTGACCGGAATGTACACGGTGGGGATAGTGTGGGCACCGATCGGGACACCAGCAAGAAATCAGCGGGGAACCAAAGGGCCAGGCCAGAGCAGAGGTCTGAGCCCAAAAGGCCATATCAGGGCCAGTGCTCAGGGGTGAGAGGAGACACTTGTCACCTGACCTTGCTAATCTATTGTCAAGACTGGTTTTGGGTAGAGTATGGTACTCCATTGCTCAGTTGCTTGTGACCCGCCTATGTACACACCACCTCATGCAGCCACCTCCCTCTTAGGACCACCAGTGGTCACCAGAAGCACTGGACACCTAGTGAAGGGAGAGATACAGGCATACATCACAAAACCGCTTCCAAGTAACCAATTGTGCCAGTAGAATCAGGCACACGTTGGTTAGAGAAGGCACCGTGCAGTTTTATTGTCTATTGCTGCATGAGAAATTACCCCCACACTTAGTTTAAAACAAAAAACATTTAATATCTCACAGTCTCTGCGGGGTAGGAATCTGGGTGCAGCAGAGCTGGTACCTCCCACTCAGGGTCTCTTGTGATATTTCTGTCAAGCTGCTGGCTGGGGCTGCATACTCTCAGCACCAGATGGCCCGGACTGTCTGCCTAAGGGATGCTGGCCTTAGGCCTCCTGAGTGTCCTAGGGATGGACTGTCTGCCTAAGGGATGCTGGCCTTAGGCCTCCTGAGTGTCCTAGTGTCCTAGGGGGCGGGGGTGGAGGGCACCATTCTGTGGCTCAGAAAGGAAGCCACAGGCTCTTAATAACCTAACCTCAGAAGTGACCTCCCATCCCTTCTGCAGTGTCCTATTTGTTAGAAGTGAGTCAGTAGCTGAGAGTTGTCTCCAGTATCAGCGGAGGTCAGTGGCCTCATCTCTAAGGGCTGGTGTGTCCTTGACCTTGAATGAAATGAAAATAGACAGGCCCAGGTCACGTGGCAGATGATTACCTCGCATGTGTTGGGTGCAGAGAGCAGAATACAGCTCTAAACCCAGTAGAAGGGCTGAGATTCCCAGAGTATAGCAGAGAACATTTTGAAGGGGTGGGGGACTACATTGGTAAATCCAACACACATTGGAAATGACAGAGGACGTGAATACCTCTGTAGAGGCAAGACGCAAGGTTGGCCAATGGTGGTTCTGTGGATTATCAGAGCAAAGCTGCAGGCCATCTTGTCTGGCACATCCTGAGGACTGCCCTTCAGAGTGCCAATGGTGAGAAGTTATGTACAGTGGAGTCCCCTGGTCAGGCCAGCTTGGCAAACACTGCATGCTACAGTCCCCTCTAGGAGACTTAGGGTACCCAGAAAAGGCTCCGGGCGATCTTGCAGCAGGGGGACCGTGTCTTTCGTTACTTAGCCACGGAGTTTATTTTTCTGTAACACCGGAATTCTGTGAAATACATTGGAACTCAGGTAACCAATGGTCTAGTCAAAGGCGGACACAGGCGCAGAGAGGGATAGTGACTGCCCGCAGCAAGACCCAGACCTGTTACTATTCAGACCACGCCATGGTCTGAAGCAACCCCAGCACCCTGCAGGGGTGAACCAATGCCAGAAGCACCAGGAAATGAACTCTGAGTTCTGGAGAACTCGGGGACTGGGCTGCTGTTGACCCCAAGAGCCTGCCCCCCCGGGTAGAAAGGCTGGCACCTGGCCGGAGAGCTGAAGAAGCCTTCAGCTGTCCCCCTGGCTTGCCCCCAGCCGACCTGGCCTGCCATATCCAAGGATGCACAGCACGGACTTATCCCCACCCTCTTGCTTCAGAACAAAATTGAGAAGACCAGGGAAATACCAAGCTGTCATCCTTCCCCCCAGGGCCGGGTGATGGGACCAGCATGGACTTGAGACCAACGGCCCCTGCAGTGGCTTCTCCTCCCCCTCTTCCCTGCCGCTTGGCCTCCCCATCTCTGCCCCTCCCTGGCTGCCTGGATTCTGCCTCTTGAGGCTCTGCCCCAAGTACCTGGTGAAATCTTGTGCCTCTAATAGCCTGAGGGGATCTGGTGAACTGACTTCCCAAAGCCGTCTAAAGCCTCCTGCTTAACCGGGGCTTGAAGTCCACGTGTTTTTCTTTTATGTATTTTGGGTATTCAGGAGAGAACCCAGGGCCTCACATACAGTAGGCCAGAGCTCCACCTGAGCTGCAGCCCCAGCCTTGAATCTTTTTTGTTTTTCTCCTTTTTTTTTTGTCTT